TATTAAAGTTGATGAAAATATATAAAAACCGATATTTGAATAAATTCGTTGTACGTCTCGATTTTAAGATTAAAAATAAAATTCTAATAACTGTAATTTATATTTAGCTTATGAAAAAAAAATACGTTGTACACATTTACATATACATATAATTTTTTTTCGGTAAAATACCTCGAAAATGTTATTATAAGTTTTATAAAGATTATTTTTATAGTAAATTATAAATATTGAACATGTATAAACACTATTTTTTTGTTTTTGTTAATACATGAAATTAAAATGTTGATGGAATTAGAATATTAAAAATTAAAGAAGCAATTTTTCTTAATAGACTTTCGTTATTTTATAGTGGTTTAAAAACCGTCGTATGGACTTGAAACTTTTTCTTATTACGTAATATATTCATATACGATTATTTTCTATACTTACTTAAATACATTTAAAGATATTTAAATGGACGTTAAACTATTTTTAATACAAATCTATTCGCACAACTTTACTATGTTACTAATTTATATTAATTTATTTTAGCAGCTTGCCGAATTCAAAAAATACTTATTTTGATATAAATATTTTATAAACTATTCCTATGAACATATATATGCTGCTGTAACTCTATATTTACTCAGGATCGTATTTTGTACATAATATTAACTAGCTGAATTACCTGGCTTTGCCCGTGTTTAGTTTGTGCTTTCTCAAAATTTTACTTAATTTTATCAAGTGCTAAATAATAATAGTAGCTGAATTATAAATAAAACAAAAATATAATGATTCTAATTATTCTAATGATTCTATAATTATAATTATAATTTGTATAATTTAACTTAATTTATGAATATTTACAAATGATTCTATATTTAGTTGCTCATTTCTAATATGGCTGAAGTCGAAACCTCTTAGTAGGTATACTACAATTAGAGTTTTATGGCTAGGGGGTGCAGCACACGTTCCCTTATTATTTGGGGCCCCGTGCCCCTATTAATGATTATAAATATTAAAGTAGCACTGTGATATTGTATGATATTAATGTTTTCGTTAGACATTTACATGATCCATATTAGTAAACATTTGTTCATATTTTTCGTTAGTAAAGACATTATTATAATTATTTATAGATAGTTAATAATTATATCATTTATATTTAAATATTATACAAATTATAATATTATTATCGTTATTGTATGCCAAAAATATAATGTTATTACGATTTATCAGTTAGGAAAATCGTGTAATCGCTATATCCATAGATCCATGCTGCACACTACTACATACCTATAGTTTCTTTAAACAGTTACGGTTATGAGTGTGAGTAACGATGCCATGGCCCACAAATATACTCTAAAAATATGCACTTAAATTTTATTTTTTTACACACAATTTTCATTTGCATAAATATTTTATAAAATTATAAATATAGAAAAAGCAAAGTAATAAAAATAATTCGGATTTTTAATTTTTAATTACAATTTAAAAAAATAAAAAAAATAATAACAAAATTCTTTAAAATATACTTTGAATAAAAAAATGCACTTGTAGAATGTTTCTGTTGAGTTATTATTGAATATAAGTCGGAATTGCCAATAATAAGTAGGCGGTATATTAATACCATCAACAATAATCAAGTAGTTATTTTTCTAGAAAAGTATTTATAAAAAATCATGGTATTTCGATATCAGTTTCTATTTTATATTAAATTTGTATAATATTTTATTTTAGATAAAGCTAGCTGTAGTTATAATTTATAAATATATAATATATATACATACTAATTAATAGGTGAAAAAAATTGATTTTAATGTCAAATGGAAATTTGAAAAATACGGTAAAAGAATATTTACGTAGTAAGTTTTCTCAATATGAATGTATTTATTCTTTTTATTTACAAATTTTCATACTGACTCTTCATAAATTATAAAATATGCTTTAAAAAATTGTAAAATTATGAAATATGCTTTAAAATTTAAAAATCACTTAATATGCAAAAATATGTAATATAAACTTTTGATATGTTTTTCGTAGTATCTTGGAATGAATTTCTAGCTCACTTAGCAATAAATCTAATAGTTCAAAAAAAAAAAAAAAAAACATGCAAATGCATCAACTTCCGATATAAGCTTCCTAATCATAAGTGAATTTAGTGAACGCTTTTATTATAGCCTTCACTCTTCAGTTTTCAACTAATGTTCAATATTGTAATACGTCAATAATTTTATTTAACTAACATACAACAATTGTATATGTAATTTTATATATTTTATTATACGTTTAATACCTACGACTGTAGACTGGCCGGACACATCTCTTTTTTAAACATTTTTGGTAAGTATTGTTTTTACTAATATTGTAATCTGTAAACCCTAATTATTGTAATGCTAAGCCTCGTGGTAAATTATCATAACTATTATTATATGTATTTATTATTTACCTATAACTATTAATTATTAAAGTTCTATGTTATTTAAACAAATTAAATAAATCGATGAAATATTATTTAAATAAAACTGAAAATGCATGATAGAAAAAGTATTAGTTAGGTATAAATGTAAGTTTGATTAAAAATAAAATTATTCTTTAGAGCAAATTTTAAATTTAAATTTAATTTAAAATCCTTTAATCAAAATTTTATGATGTATAAACTTCTAAATAAATAAGTAATAAAAAACATATGTAACTATTTATAATATATTATTTTATTACTGTTTTATTTTAAATTGTGTACCATAAATTTAATTTACTTATGCAAGTAACTATTAGGCTAAATACACTTTAATAAGTAACTATAAACAATTTAAGTATAAAAATAATTAAATTTAACTATTTTAATACCTACTGTATTCTTTAAAGAAATTGTTTAATATATAATATAATATAAAATATAATAAATGTTATGTGTATAATAATCATTAATAAGTTAATAACAAGTATTTTTTAATTTAAGCTTTTGATATTTATATTATTTAGTTTATTAAAAAATTTAATACAAGCAACCAAAAATGAATACCTACTGTTTATTGTAGATTAAAAAAACACCGGCAAATTCAACGATCTACTGAAATTAAGACAGAGGTATCAATATCCATACCTGAAACACTTGATATTGAACTCGAACATTCAGATTTTTCTTTGGAAGTTGGTATCGTTAGAATGTATTTAATTCACCTTAGTATAATATAATATCGCCAACCAAAATTGAAGATGATTATGATTTATCTAACCTAACAGATTTATCTTTAGAGTACTTTAGTAGATCTCCAGATTACAATCCACTTGATTGTTCTTCTTCTTTATAATTTGAGCATTTATCAAACTCAGACTGTAGTGATGATTACTATATATTATCTTCTTCAGAACCAAGCCTTCTTGATAGATTAACACAATTCAAATTGTTATTAATAGTAGGTACCTATTGTATAGACTATAGACTTTCATATATACTTCTACAGTTCTACATACTTAGTTTCATTAAGATAATATACATATAGCCAATGCCCGGTAGCATCATTTCCAACACAACTATTATGCAAAATTTAAAAATCATCCACGTTTTCAACGTCTGAATATACAAGTGGTGTTTGATAAAACAATACATTTCATAGAATAAACGATGTTTGTAATTTTACGATGCCTAAAAAATGCATTGATAACATCATCGTTTAATACAAATTATCTATTGCTAAGACTGTCATATTACGTAGTAATTGACAATACTCATAATAATAGTAAACAGACTCGCACTGATGAACAAATACTGCAGTAATGAAATACAATCTCCCCCTTTTCCCCTCGGGGCAAGAAAATGAAAAATCAGGTGACGTAGTGATACTCAGGAAAGTATTTTGAAAACTTTGCGAAAAAAAATTGGAAAATGTTAAATATTGTCGTTACAAAACGGGAACATAAAAAAGTGAGGTACACTTAAAACCTACTATATAGTAGAAAGTTTTCTAATAAATAAAAAAAAATAAAATTATTGTTTTTTTTTTTTTTTTATTTTGAAAGAATTGCTAAAGTGATGTTTGTATAATATAATCTTACAATGACTTATTTGATTCTCATTATTAATTTTAACATTACATTAATATCTTTTAATAGATATATTGTTCTAAAAATTTATCAGGTACAGCTGTTATTGATTATATAAAACGCTAACTCCTAACTAAAATGTCTACTATTATTTTAAAAACCTTTATATTATAATTCAAAATTGAATTTTATACAGTAAGGGCTAATAATCTTAGAAGATATATCCTTATATACATAAAAGAATAGCCCTTTTTTATGTTACCGTTTTGTGACGACACTATTTAACATTTTTACAATTTTTTTCACAAGGTTGTACCAAATACTCTTACGAGCGATTTATTGTTTACAATTTAATTTTATTCGTCATGATAGTATTAATTGTTTACGTATAGTGTCGTAAATAAATACATGTCGAAGTTATAAACTACAAATTAATATGATATTTTTAATAATAGTTTTAATATTAGGAAAACACTGACTAGCTATTAATTATATAAATTGCGTTATCGAAAAATAATATTTTTCTTATCGATATGCGAACAACACTAATTGAACGTGTCTTCTTTAAAACACAACAATATGTGTGTTGTTTGAAGAATTTTTTATTTTAAAAAAGCACTAACTACATTCGGGCGAAGCCGAGTAATTCAGCTAGTTAATTTAGTTAATTATAAAATATCATTATTCTTCTATTTGATGGAGACTTCTCATATTTACCTTTTACTAACGCAACAATAAAAATGGTTGGCCATACGAATAAAACGTGATTGTAAACATAGTTTGATATATATTTTTATCTATATGGTTTCCATGTAAATTATGAATATTATTTTAATACTTTGTTGAATTGTAGTAATTAATACAGTTTAATAATAAATGTACTCAACGACACTTTAATAAAACATTATAATTAATTGTTTTTTAACATTTTATTTCAACCACTTAATAAACACAAAAACTTAACTTTAAAAACAATGGACTTTACACGATTATATAATGTTTTCAATTCAGAAAAAGAACAAACATTGGTCGGCGCGATAGTGGTAAACACGAATGACGTTGGCTTTTATGTATATAAAGCCAATTGTAGCGATTTGGTCAAGTCCCATCATACAACTATCCGGGACGTGAATACATTGCAAGAAGGATGGTCGGAACAGGACCCGATGGAGATCCTGAGTGCCGTAGAGGAATGTATCTCCAACACGACGTGCCCGGGTGGAATGGTGACGGGTTTGCAAGTGGTCACCATAGGTATAGCTAACCAACGGAGTTCCGTTGTGGCTTGGAACAAGAATACCGGCGAACCACTCTGTAATTTAATACAGTGGTCGGACAACAGGACATCCGCCATGGTGAATGAAGTTTTGGAGTCGAACAATAAGTACCGGTTTCAGCGAATATGTGGCCTGCCGTTAAGCACCTACTTTAGCGCGTTCAAAATCCAGTGGTTACTGCGCAACAACGAAAAGGTGATGTCGGCCTATGAGACCGGTGATTGTTACTTTGGTACAATCGATACTTGGCTGTTGTGGAATGTGACTGGTGGCAAGGAAGGTGATTTACTTTATTTAATTTACTTGGATTTTCTTAATTCGCGTATGCCCAGTGTCCCAGTGGTGTATTGGTACGCACTGAATATACCTAAAAAAATGTTCTCGCTTTGTTAGAAGTATCTTAATGCTTACAATTTTCAAGTATATATATATCAAAGTAACAACTTTTAACTTGTACACTTTTGAAATTTAATTTATTTTAATTCATAATAAAATTTATGATAAAAAATTTTATTTTTTATAGGTTTTAAATTTATTTACTTTATCCAACAAATATTTGCATAATCGTTAATTTTTTTAAATAAAACCAAAACTGCAATTTTAGTTATTAACAGTATGTAAACAGGTAGATTTGGTTTGAATATGAGTAGTATTCTGACAGCATAAAATTCAGGCGTTGACCGTTTGGGCAAATTGACCCAAAATATGGTCTGTTTAAGTGAATAAATATATACCGTTTGGGCGAGGGTTTATTCAACTAAAAAAATCATATAAGAAATAAATAATTAATACTAAGTACTATTTAAAAAAAAAAAATTTGGTATAGATATTAATAATATTATTATATAAGTAGGTAGTAATCTACAGTCAAAATATTATAAATACAATTAAATATAATATATTAATAAATAGTACATTTTAAACTTTAAAGTAATCTATTGGCCTGATATTTTAACCCTAAACATTTTATGTATTTTAATTAGTTAATATCCTCTTCTTTATATTTATTCCATGTTTCTTGTACAAATTTTCTCTTTTTTTTTTTATATAGTTTTTTTTCATTGAGCGTTAGAGATATTTTTTGAAATGGAATTGATTTTAATCATATTTTCAGTTTGGATTTTTAATAATACTGCAATAGCTTGATGTACACGAGGGTGTGTTTGTAAAACTGTTGATTAAATTGGGAATGAAATGACTCTGGTCCATTTGTGGTTCTGGGATGGTCAAATATTTATGATGATGCCCACAAATAAGGGGGTTTTTACCTCGCATAGGTAAAAATAATTTCACTTGCCTAAACGGTACAAATAATAATCGCCTAAACGGACTATTATTTTTTTGGTCAAAATTATTACCTTCGCCCAAATGACTACCGCTTTAAAATTCAGTGGAATATTCACTATGGATGCATACATTTTAAATTTCCATAATATTCATGCTAATATATACATATAAAATTAAAATACCTCACTGATCGCTGTATCTCGAAAACTACTCAATCTACGAACTTGAAATTTAGAATAGCGGTCCTCTAATATTTTTACCGAGCAATAAAAAAGGATTTTTAAAAATGTTTCGTTCAAGTGGACTAATTAATAATTTCAATTATTCCTTAATTATTACGTATTGTGCGGCACGGCGACCAGTCGCCCGGGTTTCTAGCTACTTGCAACCTATACCCATGACTATCGGTAGATATGAATTGATCCGAAAAATTTACCGATAAAAATAATATCACGCATCGCGCGTACACCAATATTCCTATTATATAATTTGAAGTTAATATGAAAAAAAACAAAACAAAAATACATACAGGCGAAGCCAGGTAATTCAGCTAGTATGGATATATAATACGTATGGTTAAGTGGACCACGTTTTTTTTAGAAATATTATGGAGAAGAACGTTTTTCATATTAGTTTTACATTCAATTAAATAGTTGATCAACTATAATAATTAATAATAAATAGTTTACGAATAAACACAATTGAATTAAACGGTTCAAAAAGTTACATTTAGCTGTACAATTAATTATCTAATTCTGATGAAGGTATATATTTTGTGTGAAGAATATTTTTAAAAATTATATTTAGTGTTAAATTACATAATATACAAAATAGCTGACCCGGAAAACGTTGTTCTGCCATAAAAATTATTTCTGTGATAAGCTTGGTCTTTGATTTTGCATGTTGAATTAAATTGTTGCCCACTTGGAGCATTATTTTTAACTATTTCTGTTTCTCCGGACAATGTCATTTGGAAATATGAATTTAATGTTCGAATTTACTTCAGGAATAGGTTAAAATCTTGATCCATACCGATAAGTAAATCGTTCAATGGTTCAGGCAATGTTTCAATTTCAAGTAGTTTACTTTTCCTGACGCGCAACACATACTGGTTCGCTAATTTTTGAATTTGAGCACATTAAAATGCTGACATTCCTTAATTTATAAAAGACCGACACGTTTTCGTTCGATTCGGACACAGTTACAAAATAATAATGATAGTCACAAAAACAACTGCTAAGCTACACATAGTAAACACCAATTAAGATAAATATTTACCTACAGATAGTATACAGGAAAATAGTCAGACTGAAGAGACTTTGTTTTATAATATGTATAGATAGATATAGATGTTAAATACCTGCGGAATTATATTTTAATATTGTCAGTCAAAATGTTTATATTATTATTTTTGAGGTCGTAACTCTTTTTTATCGTGACTATATATTATAATGCTGCATATGTAATAAACATGCAATAATACTATGTAATAAACTTTATATGAATGTGCCGTTTACTTACATCGACAATGATCCCATATTTGCAGATTTCCATTGTTGTGGAAAAGTCTACAAAACTACAAATATTATTTCTTTTACTAAAGTTTTATAAACCCTACGTTTTTCGTATTCGATTTAGCTGACACAATAATACTATTTAATATTTTAATTTTCAGGTGGAGTGTTTGCCACGGATTGTTCAAACGCGTCTCATACATTTTTGATGAACATAAATACATTAGAATGGGATAAACGAATATTAAAGTTCTTTGGTATTTCTGAAAAATGTCTTCCAAAAATAAAATCGAATTCTGAAGTGTATGGAAATATTTCTGGAGGATACCTCAATAATACGCCAATATCTTGCATCATTGGAAACTACCAAGCAGCTCTAATTGGTCAAAAATGTTTTCGACGTGGTCTTACGAAAGGTGTACTCAATAAAAGTGGTTCAATTTTCACAGTCACCGGGGAAAATAAAGTATTATCTAGAAATGGACTACTGACAACGATTGCGTATCAATTGGATTCGAGACCAATGTATGCGTTAGAAGGCCCAATTGCTTCAGCAGGACATGCCATAGAATGGGTAAAAAAATGCTTGGATGTTAGAGAAACTGAATGGTTAGCATCTATGAAAAAAGACAGATTACAAAATGAAGTATACTTGGTGCCTGCATTCAATGGTATTTTTTAACGATTTGCTACATTAATTGAATTTAAAATAGTTTAAATTAAATTTAGTTAAAATATTTAGAATTATTTAAAATTAAAAAAATTGTAGTTTAAAAATATTTATTTTATATTTAATTTTTCACATTATTTTTAACGTTCTTTGTTAATTTGAACAAAAACAATAAAATTTATAATTACGTACTTGGTGTAGACATTTTAATATTAAATGATTTAGGTTTGTATGCTCCGCATTGGAGGCATGAAGCTCGGAGTATCCTAATTGGAGTTGATGAATATACTGTGAATGATGATATATTAAGAGCAGCTATGGAATCTGTGTGTTTTCAAACTCAAGATATTGTTGAAGCTTTAAATGACGACCTAAAGATGTCTATAGACAAAATACAAGTTGATGGTGACTTAACAGATAATGAGTTTATCATGCAACACCTATCTGATATAACGAACTCTCAGATTGAAATATCCAAGTTAAAAAATATGACTGCATTGGGTGCAGCTATGGCAGCTGGTTATGCACCTGAAATTAATGTCTGGAACGTTTTTTGTATGCCAGAAGATAATAGTGCAATTTACCATCCGAAAATAACGGTTAAAGAACGGAAAAGTCGAATATTTGATTGGAAAAGAGCTTTGCGGAGAACTTATGATTGGATTGATTACAAACCCAAAAATAATCATTTTTGGGAGATAGCGTCTATTACATGTGGAATAATTTTCGTAGGAGCTTTTTTATGGACAAGAAAATAATTGTACTCGGTAGATAAGCCCTTCAATCCAAATACTCAAATTGCCGAATATGCCGACGGCAAAGTAATATACTCCTCCCATACCGATCCGCACTTAGTTTCAACCTTTCTCAAAAACCACCTGAATGACCTATCACACTGGTAATCTCACTGTCGCGTCAAAGTAAATGAAAGAAAATCCGTACACACTAAAGTAGTATAAAATAGCCGATTCTGATACAACATCCTTATCCTCCCCGAACCACTACCGCTTTTCTCACTTAATATTGCCTCCGCTGCCGCCACCGCCGTCGTTGCATACGTACGCGACATACATTTAACACCGTTATCAGTTATTTTTTTATAAATAATTATCAGTCATCATTGAATACTATTATCATTGTTATCATATATAATTATCACTTTCATCACATACTATTATCTCTGTTATCATATATTGTTATTTGGCGCCAACCAAAGCGTGCTTTTAACTAACAACGTATATTTTCACATTATTTATTCTGGTTTAGAATCGAACCGAGGGTATTTATCATTGTTCCCACTTCGTCTCTAGCCCATTAAACATTATAATCAAAACTTTTATACTTAAGGAAATTCTATTTTCTCGTATTATTCTAAAATATATGACAGCACAAAACACGAGTATAAAATCAAATTTACGTGTAATAGTAGGCATAATACTGGAATGTTATTAGTAGTACACTCAGTTAGATCCAAATATATATATATTTTTTTTTTTACACGGAAAAAAATAATTTACAAAAATATTCTGTTGAACGATATTTAGTAGTAGTAACGTATTGATATCTGAATCTACGAATTTTTTGGTTATAATTGCAGAGCTTTTTTTTTATGGTTACTTTATTAGATCTGTAAAAGTTATATGGTGGGTACAATTACATTTTTGTTAAATTAGTACTCAATGTGTAAACACAACAAAATTGTTTTGCTAAATTTGTATGTAATCTATGTGTAACTGAGACTATTATTGTTTGGTAATGTCTACAATATGATTAGTTGTAATTAAATTGAATTACGTAAAAAAAACTAATATTTGGTAAAAATAACGGAACGTTTTGTGGACTGTACAATGGTTTTTGTGGGTATTACCCATGCGTATAGTAAAGATAAGAATCCACGCTGCCGCGTTTGGCGTTCATTGTATACACACCACACAAATCGCTCTTTACGTCCTTCACTACCTAACCACGTTGTTTTTGCTGTATAGTGAAAAAACAAATTTTATAGAACTGTATTTTGTACTACCTTCGGTTTGTTTTACAATTTTAAATTGATTTATAATATTATGGCCGACGCCGATGTGGCGAACATGTTAAAGGCTTGGGGGTTGGAGCAGTACATAGACGTTTTCCAAAGTAAGTACAATTCATTATAAATATGTAAGTTATAAGTGTATAACGTGAATTCGTAAGATTTGAATGAACTAATATATTATTGTATGTGTTGTTTTCGTCTCACAAATATAAAAAATAGCAAATTTTAGTTCACCAGTTACTTACTATTTTGTGTACTTAGTTATGTAGCTTTAATAGAGTGAATTGAATTATTATAAACTTAAAAGTAAGAACATTATTTGTGTAATTTTGTGGGTTCTTACAATTTTTTAATGTTTAATTAAATTATGAGTATGTAATATATTAAAATTTAAAAAAACCCATGAGATTGCACAGGCCGCAGATAATGTTCTTACCTTTAAGTTTTATAATAGTTTAATCACTAATTTTAAAGCTAACTACACAAAATTGGAATTTCTGAACACAAATTTGCTACGTTGTTTGTTTATAGTACAAAGACAACACATGGAGATCCTCTTAAATATGTAAAGTATTGAATTGATTGAATATTCTTAAAAAAGGAATTACAAATATAATAATAAAAATCAACATATGATACAAACTCGGATCAGACATACCAATTATTATTGAAAACATAAATAATAGATACCAGCCACCTACTTTATTTTAAATTAGTATAATTTAACACTAATTGATGATCCTAAGTAGTTTATGTTATAATAGTATGATCATTTCTAGTGTCACCTAAACTTGCAATTCCTTTTTTAAGAATATTAAATCAATTGAATACCTTAGGCATTTAATTTTGACCTACTTAGTAATATTATATGTGATAATATGACTTAATAATGTGGTAAATGTTATAAAATATGATTTTTATGGCATTTTAAATGGACACTGGGCAGTACATTCTCTTAGTATTCTTTTAAAATTCCAGATATATAATAATTGATGATGTATAATATGTCCTTAAATTAATGCAAAATATTCTTTTAGTTTTCTTTATAAAAATACATTTATATATAATAATTTATAAATTATTTATTATTTGTAGTGTAACAATAATATATATTATTGTTACATGACACCTATGTATGTGTCAATTCCATAGTAGGCAATAGTGGGATATTTATGCTGAGATAAACATTGTTAATGATTGTGAGGCCTGTGGCCAATACGCACCGTTTATCGAAAGGGCAGTTCGAGACTGACCAGCAATAAACACGAACTCACCAAAAAAACATGAACTCACCAACACCGGATTGTTTACCACCATCTACATTTTGTTAAGTACAAACCAAAAATATATTTTGAACAGAGATTTATAAACCAAACGTGTTTTATTTATTGATAAGATCCCACATACCGTGTTCTAACCCCCTAGCTACGGAAAATTTATCCATAAGGACCAGAAAACCTTCCCTGGATAACTAATATAGTAACTAGGTTCCCCAGCCACGTTACAGTAGGAACGATGAACTTGAAGAATGGACAGAATCTGATTTTGAGGTAAAACTTGGAGAGCGTAAATGGATGGAATTAGACAAAGATGTTATGAAAGTGCTTCTACAGTTTTATTTCAGATAACAAAATGACATTTGATTTATGATAATAAAATATTATTTTTAAAATCATATGTTTAATTAATTTATTATTTAGCAGAATATTATGTTATAATATTAATATATGATTTAATTTACATTTATAAAACAAATAAGATTATAAATTAATATTTTATTTAGAGTTCATAGATAAAAAATATGAGTTCTTCAGCGTGGTCTGTTGATAAAGATGATTTATAATCAGTAATAATATTGCCCACACAGTAGGAACACAAGTACCCTGCACTCATAAATATATTTTACTAAGTATGGCCAAAGTTGAAAATTCGTTTTGATAGACTTTCCACCACTTTAAAGGGTCTAACTCCAAATTTATAGGTTCCGTGTTCAGATATTTATTAAATTCGACCTAGTTTAGATCAAGGTGTGGGTTAACGTTGGCTGTTGGAACTTCCGTTGACAAAAACGTTGCCAAACTTATAAAATACAATATAACCTATATTAGTAGTTTAATAGAGTAAGCTAATTTAAATGCTTAAAATAATAACATACTCGTATAATTAATGTTGGCATTATCCAAATGTTGACATTACCCGTATACGGAATATCGGTATACCGACCTCAAATCGGTAGACCGGTATTACCGTCATCCCTAGCCTATATTATTAAATTAATAATAATACTAAAAATAATTAAAAAATAATATTTAAAATATACTGGAAGTGTTGCTAATTTAGAAAATTATAATTCATAAAAGTACTAGGAATTAATAGATTGGTTGGCTTTTGTCAATATTTTTAATACTTTTATGAACTATAATTTTCTAAATTAGTACCATATCATACTATATTTAAAATTAAATTAAGTGAGAATCATAGAGCTATTAATAAAAAAAAAGTATTTACACAGATTATCTTATATAATATTTTATTAATATAAAGCAGCCTAATAATCAATAATAAATACTAGGCTTCAAGTAGGTACATTATAATTGTATACAAATCATAATTCCATCGACTTTGTTTTAAATAAAACGTGCATATTTTACAACTATTAGTATGTAATTTTTAGATGAAGCAAGTGTTAATAGATTATAAAAACGCCTGGGAGAACTCATAGTGGCAACTCTTATTTGTGTAATGAAAAAAGGAGAGGAGAATGTGAACATTTTAACTGAGGTAAACGTTAAACTTTCATATTTTCGAATGGTTACAAAAATATTTACTTAAATAAAATGTTCTTATGGTCTTAGGTTATATATAGCCATATAGGTAATATTATTGTATATTTAACCAAACACATATAGAACCTATGCTAAAATAAATAATGAACTTGGTATATACATTTTGACATTAAAAAAAATAATTTATCATCATACTCATACCTATATATTATTTAAATATTGTTAGTTCAGTATTTAAGTGTATTTATCAATGGTACTTAGAACTTATGCATATTGTATATAGTGTATAGCATATTTTTTAGTTTAAATATTTTACTATACTTAAAAATGTATTGATAATTTTATTAGTACACAAAATAACACGAACACAATAAATGGTCCAGAAAAAAAAATTTACTAAATTGTATACAATTAAAAATAACAAAATCTTATTACGAAAATATTTTTATCATAATACTATATGATTAGGTAATGAGTATAACCATAGTTATTATTAACTATGGTTACATTTATTGTAATAATGAAAAAAAATCAAGTAATAACATGTGGCACAGGTGTATATTATTATAGCATTAAACATTTGTAGGAATGATTATTGTTAATAAAGACAGTTTGAAGGAACGAAAAAGTCACAGTTTGTAATATTAAACTCTAAAGACAATATTCGAGTGAAAAAACCAATGACATAGATATTACAAAATAAAATTTATGTTGTTAAATTATATTGAACTCTGAGATGGAATGATAAACATAATATTAGTTTTACAATGTGTGAATTATTATTATTTTTATGTTTTTCAATTGTCATTGATGGTCTCTATTAGAACATTATAGGTTTAATAGTTATACCTAGTAGCGAATTGTATCTGGTTGTGACGTTAGATTAATAACATTCTAAGTATTTTGAAAAATAATTAGAAAATAAAAATTTTCAACATGA